CTGATTTAATGAGAAAATGAAAAGTACGCAGTGACGTCGTGCAGGTACATAAGTATGTTTCGAATGTGGTCCGAATTGATGGGCGTTGAGTTTTCGCGCGCCGGGAACACAATCACCGGTCGCCCGTTGCGATCTCGTGTGCCCGGCAGTTGGGCCACTCGATCGCGCAGCACGTGAAGTATATCTTCGGCTTTACGGCACCCGTTCTGCTGTTGCTGCTGCTGCTGTATCCGATCCATTTTGCAGTAGCAGCGTGCTAGCACTCCTTCACGCCCGCTGCACACCACTGGCTACTCGATCACCGGCTACAATTCTGCAAAATATAACTCTATAGTTTGCGCTCGTGTGGAAAAGCGGGAAGACTTGAAATCGGCTAGTTCCAGGCTTTTCGCCTTCTGTCCCTACGTCCGCGTCGTACCAAAGCATTCCAAGTCGCTTGGATAAGACTTGTGCTACAGAGTAGAAGCGAACATTGAATTTTAGAAGGCAGGTTTGGGGATTACAAGTCACAGTTATTCCACTAATTCAAATAATTTCACTAATTTTACTAGCTTCTCAGTTCCTATTTCCCACTTTCCTCTTCGATTCTCCTTCTTATTTCAATATTTAAGGTTAAATGGGAATTTTGTTGAAAAATGTAAGAATGAATGACAGAAAAGGTAAAAAAGGGGAAGATGTAAAAAAGAAGAATTATTGAATTACGCAGGGAATGTTTCGGTCCATTAAGTCGTATACATTTCTAATTTCAAAATACCTTTCTGTTTTTCTAATATCATGAATGAACAAATAAAGTATCTTTTAACAGCTAACACACAGACAGAGCTAGGGAGAGCTCTGCTTGAAGGTAAAAGCGGGAATCAACAGTACAGCCTCCTACCAGCCATGTAAAGTCAAAACTGCCACCGGCTCTTTTCGAAGCGGAAACATTCTGAAATAGCCCGAGTGGTAGTACATGCCAACATCAACCATACACTGGTGAACCTGCCAATAATCATCCCTCATCCGCGAGTAGCTTAAAAGCAACCTGATGTACACATGCTTATTGCTAAAAGCGTTTGGCC